AGATAGATAGATAGATAGATAGATAGATAGATAGATAGATAGATAGAGATAGAGATAGATGGATGGATGGATGGATGGATGGATGGACGGACGAATGTGACTTTAAAAACAGTGTGTAGGTACTGCTCAGTCAAGTCACACCTCTGGGCAGTACATGGGCCATATCCCTCCACAGAGCACATAGCCACAGCTGCAGTTTATGCTGGGCTAAGGACTATACCAGGCAGGACAGAGACAGAGCTGGATGGAAGAATGCTTCCAGGCCTTGAGAAGGCAAGGCTCTATAAAACAAGTTATTCCTCCAGAGCATGAAACCCTGGAATTGCAACAGGGATTCTGTGTAAACAAGATTTGAATTCCTAGCCAGGTGTTTGAGTGATGTACACCTTTAATCCAAGGGCTTGGGAAGTAGATGCAGGTGGATCTCTGTGAGTTCAAGGTCAGCCTGGTCTACAGAGCTATTTCCAAGCTTACTATAGCTATATAATGAGAAAAAAAAAAAAATTTTTTTTAATTCCTTTGCATACAAGTTTTAGGAGGTGGGAGAGAGTTATGTATATGGGTCCTTAGTGGGCCAGTTATCTTTCATAGAAAAACAGTTTTTCACAATAATGAGTTCTAGGCCAGCCACGGCTACACAGTGAGTCTCTGCCTCAAGAAAATAACAGCTAAGCAGAAAATGAGCAGGGATGGGGTCACAATGACGAAAAGGCCACAGCTAAAAAGTGAGCTGGTTCCAACTGCTTTACTCTAAATACATATGTACACATCAGGAGAGCAAACAGCACTGCATTGGCCCAGGAACAGACACCCAGGAACAGAAAGAATGCCTTCTTTCTCACCCACCCGTGAGCGTGCTCCTATGCATACAAGAATGCTAGTATCTTTGTTTTGAGTTTCCTTCCCCACTGCTGAGGATGGAACCCAGGGCCTCAAGCATGTGAAGCAAGCACTCACCACTGCCTGGAGCAAGCAGAGTACATTACACCAGCACCAACACCAGAGGGCATGACTGCCAATCTCCCGCTGACTGCCCAATGTGCTGTGGACACCCAACACCCAAACCGGGCTCCTCTGGAAGAAATATGCCTAACCACTGAGCTACCTCTTCAGCCTCCAGGTAATCAACAAAAAAGTAAATATTGGAGGCTGAAATTCAAAGACTAATACTTGAAAAAAAAAAATGTGATGGCTATTCTTGGTTGTCAACTTGACTATATCTGGAATGAACTACAATCCAAAACTGGAGGGCACACCTGTAAGAGATAATTTTTGCTTGATCTGCAGCGGGTGAATCTACTTCTAGTCTGGACCTTTGAGGCAGAAAGACACATGCTTTAGATACGAATTTTGAGGTGGGCAGATACACCTTTAATCTAGGCCTAGACAAGGATAAGGACATGGAAAAAGAAAGCTTTTGCTCTTCGCCGGCTTGCCCTGCCTCAAAAGCAAGACCATTCCTTCATTGTCATTAGAGCCTACTTCTTCGGGATTCCAGAGTCTATAAAGACCAGCTGAGATATCCAGCCTTGCGGTCTGAGCAACATCTAAATTCTTGCATCTTTCGTTCACGGCGTACTGCTATTGGATTAGTTGGACTGTAGCCACACACTCTCTCTCCCCCACTCTCAAGATTCACTCTACGTATCTATCTATCTATCTATCTATCTATCTATCTATCTATCTATCTATCTATCGAGTGAATATCTATCGAGATTCACTCTATAAGTTCTGCTACTCTAGAGAACCCTGACTAAAACACCCACGCTACTCATGTATTTCTTCTTAAACTTATCACTCATCTTTCATAGCAGAAACTAATATAAGCAGTTTCTATAAACAGAATCCAGTCACTGCAAAGAGCTTTAAAAACACTTTTAATTCCAGTGCATATGTGACCTAAGAAGACGGTTCGATTGAAGTGCTTACCCCCTTTGGCTCTGGAACAATCAAATGTGTACACTTCTTGTTGAGGTTTAGCTGGCAACTGCCCCCGTGGAACGTAACCAAGGCCCACAAGGCACTTCTGTCCTCAGACGACACCTGGCAGAGAGTGAGAACAAGTCTTCACCACACATTCAACTGTGCCTCCATTTCCACTTTAGTACACTGCGTTCACTGGTGGGCTCCCTCAGTCAGCTGGTGGTAAAAGGATGCCAGTGAGAAACCTAAGAGCAGCATTCAGCCCTTTGCCATGTCACCAACTGAACAAAACTTAGACCCATCTGGGGCTGGGGAAGGGGCTTGGTGGTAGGCAGAGGTTGCCTTGCATATACAAGGCCTCAGGTTAGTTCCCGAGCATCACAAAATAATTTTAAAAATTTTCCATAAATGGCTAGAGAAAAGGCTCAGCAGTTAAGAGCACTGGCTGATCTTCCAGGGTTCAGTTCCCAGCACCCACATCTCATCACTCACAACCATCTGTAACTCCAGTTCCAGGGGATCCAACACCCTCTTCGGTCTCCATGGGCACCGTACATGCATGGTGCAGACACAAACACATATGAGGCAAAAACACCCATACATATAAAATAAAAAGAAATAAATCTTTCAAAATTTCATCTGCATCCCAAAGACATGAATAGAGGATTATGGTCTATAACAAAAACAATACAAAAAACCTAAAAAGGGCAGCAAGATATACTATTCTACTTTCCATCATTTCTGAAAATGCTCAAGCATCAAAATTATATTTATAGGGGCTGGTGAGATGGCTCAGTGGGTAAAAGCACTTGTTACGCAAGCCAGATGACCCAAGTTCAATCCCAGGAACCCACATAAAAGTAGGAGAATCAACTTCACAAAACTGTCGTTTGGCCCATGTGCTAGCTTTTGACACTTGATGACACCCCCCCCCCAAATAATCATAAAGTTTTTACATCATAATTACAAAGAACTCCTTCAAAATTAGTATCAGGTCTTAATTAGGATATGGATAAACAAGATAAAAATACGGTTTTGACTGGAAAGTCGAAGGGAACACACACATTCTATGGAAAAGCCTGAGGCAGGTGTAGAAGTCACAGAGATGGAAGACTCCAGCACTGCCACCCTGCAGCCACTACTGCCTGCCTACCAGAGCCAGACACTGTGCCAAGTGCTCCTCACACTAACATGACCCTGCCTGTGGCACCAACCCCAGTCACACTCGGAGCAGTGAACCCTGGCACCTGACACCCCAGTGTGCCAGCCCAGGTTCAACTCCACACATACTGCCAGCTGCTCCCCTAAGGCAAGACCTCTGGAAAAGGCCACACTAACTTTTCAAGGATAAAATTTAGTCTGAAAGGCAAAGGGAACACTTAAGAAATGTAACGCAGAATTCACCTTAAGATAGTCACACAGGCACATGAATCTTTTCTGGATAAATGTATTGTAGGCTGAGGGTTTTGGGTGTTGAAGAAGCCTGAGTTTACCTCTACATTTTCTTAAAGTATTGATAAACAGCTGACTTCTTAATGCCAGATGTGGTGCCCAGGGGCCCAAACTTGGATAACCACTCCTAGGGGCTGTTCTGTATTCCACACTATCTGACTACACATGAGCTTTCTAAAGTCATTTTCAAATCAGTACTTGACCACACCACTCTATTAGTAGCTTTCCGTAGCACTTGCAGAAAAAGGCGTAATTCTCTGACAAAAGACTGATCCAATGACTCACTATGCAATCTTCGTTTAAAGTGAGTGTAAAACCTAATCTTGATGCAGCTTAGCACTTCAATGCCATGCCGGAAAGGACCAGCTTCTTTACCAGCTACAGTAACTGGCCTTCACTGTGTACGTCCTGCCCCAGGCATGAACCTCACTAGGCAGGGGGAGCACCAGGAGAATGAGGTCACTGTCTTTGGTAACCAGCTCCTGTTAACTCAGAGCACATTTGGAATTGAGGTACTGCACACACGCGGCTCAGCTCTCTGCAGCAGTGGGGCTGGCCTCCAACACCCACATACCAGGGCCTGTCACCTCCTGGTCAAGGGTTTTGGGGGTACTTTTATTTTCACTTTTATACTTTTCAATAATTTCCAAATTTTCAAAAGCAATCTCTTTAAATAGGGAAAAGTACTATTTCAAAATCCATCATTTTAAAATCATGCTGGCGCCAATGCTTTGCTGCCTCTTCCCAGTGTCAGGCTAATTCCTAGCTTTTCTGCCTGGCTCCTGTTGCCAACCATACCTAAATGCCACTGTCAACACACTAAACCACCTATGTGACAAGCCTCCCTCCTGTTGTCACTCCACTGAACCCTGGGCAAGCCAGCAGTATGATCACTGCCTAAATTCCAACAATCATCCCACTGTCTTCCCAAAGAAAAATTCACCCTGACCCCACTCCCCCAAATTTGCTTCCCTATTACCAACTGGCAGTCCTCTCAGCTAGGCATCGTAGTGCTTGCCTGTAACCCCAGCATCTGGGAAATGGAGACAGAAATTCAAGGCCATTTTCGGTGTCTTAGTTACTTTCCTACTGCTATGAAGAGACACCATAATCAGGGCAACTTCAAAAAAAAGTATATAATTGAGAACTTGCTTACACTTTCAGGGTGAGTCCCATGACCATCATGGTGGACAGCATGGCAGCAAGCAGACAAGCATGGTGCTGGAGCAGCAGCTGAGAGCTCACATCTGCTCCAGAAGTACAAGGAAGAAAGAAACTGGACCCGTTGTGGGCTTTTGAAACTTCAAAGCCCATTCCCAGGAACATACCTCCTCCAAAAAGGACACACCTCCTGAAACAGTTCTACCAGCTGAGGACCCAGTACTCAAACACGAGTCATTCTCTTTCAAACCACTACACTTAGCTACACAGAAAACTTGAGGTTAGCCTGGACTACATGAGACCCTGTCTCAAACAAACAATTACGAGTACCCTCCCTTCCAGTCTCCACACACAAGGAGGGAAGCCCATGACTGCAGCTCCATGTTCCTCTCCTCAGCCAGCTAACATTCCTTACTAAAGACTATGGTTCCCCTTTGATGACAGCCCTTGGCTCATCTGTCACTGAGCTGAACTCAGGGTCTAGCACAGTCAAGAAATGTGACTGACATGCAACTGCAGCCTTCTCAATTGCACACCAGGCCAGACTCCCCACCAGGAGTCTCCTCTCCAAGGACTACCCAGCACACTACAGAGGCCTCAGCCTGCAACAAACAGCAAGAAGATAATGTCTGCAGACAGGAGCTCTCTTCCCCACCGCTCTCTGAAAGATTATAGAAGGGACTGCTAACTCTTCCCAACATCCTGACAGGAAAAGACAGTGGACTATGCAACCAAGCAGGCCTCAGCTCAGGATGTGCCCGAGTGTGTGTGCATGGGCTTGTACAATTACTGCTGAAAGGGTGCCAAGCCCTGTGGCAGTGTCCCTGCACGCCAGAGCCTAACCATGAGGGCTGCTCCTTGTGCTGTCCTACACCTGCACATTGTGCTATAGCACACCGAATTCCTCCATGTGCCTGCCCGTTTGCAGCCTGTTCATTTCCTGAGGGACAAGTTACACTGTAATTAATGTGTACCCTAAGTCCCTTTGCTGCACACTGTACACATCTGTTAACATGGCTTAAAGCAAATTAACATTTTTTAGCAACCACAGACTATTAGTTCCCAGTGCATACTGTAAGCTGACACTTGCAGATTCTTCGAATAAACTAGACAGCTCTCCCCTTTCTTAAAGAAGTGCTTTTGAGCCAGGAGTGTGGTACGTGCCTTTAATCCCAGCACTCAGGGAGGCAGAGGCGGGTGGATTCTGTTGAGGCCAGTCTGGTCTACAAAGCGAGTCCAGGACAGCCAAGGCTACATAGAGAAATTCTGTCTCAAATGGGGGTGGGGGGAAAATCCTTTTGTTAGTAGTGGTGGCCTCTCTGACAGTTCAAGGGCAGCCTGATCTACACAGTGAATTCCAGGAAAATTACATAAAGAAACCCTGTCTCAAAAAAAAAAAAAAAAGTGCTTTTACTTCCCAGTACACACTGAGGTTTTCAACTATGCTTGTTAAGTGTCTAATGTGACAGATGTATGCAGTAAGAGACCCATAAAAGTCTACTCCTGGGTTTGGTTTTTCCTACTCAGTAACTTGCTGGAAGATGTATGATCCTATGATGACCTTGAGAATGGAGGTTACTCCCCCCAAAAATTCTGCCTCTGGAGCCCCACCAATGACACCACCCACCTTTCAGTGACTGGACTGTCATGCCCCGGCCATCGTCCCTCATTTCATCACTTTCTGGGTATTCTCCCAATTCCCCAGGCGGACCACTCTAGGTGTCTGCAGCCCACACTCCAAGACCACTTAGCCGCCTGTGTGGCTCCTGAGCTTCAGGGCCCTGGCTTTTCCTTACTATCTTTTCTTTCTTCCTGGTCCTGGGTCACAGAAGTAGACTGAAGGAATACACACATAGCCACAGACAACGATCATAACAAACTCCTGCCGATCCCTGCCCAGAAAGCAGCAGTTGCCAGGAATACAAACAAAACCAGCAGCATCTGATCCACTCTTCTGACTTCATCTCCATCCTAACCAGCATGGCCTGCCCAATCCTTCCCACTTGTGTTCAATCCCTGTGACTACATGCCTTACCCAAGGGTCTCTCAGGCTCCTGCTGCCTCTCCCCTACGCTGAAGAACTCCTATCATGCCACATGTCCTCCAAGTTGCTCTGTGCTCATGGATGGCCCAAATCTCACTGCACACCATCATTCCTCATCCCTTATATACCAAGCTCGACTTGATTTCCCATCAGCTTGCCCCAAGACCCTGTCCTGATGACACGACTGCTCTGGCTGACCCTACGCCACAGCACTGAAAAGCCTTGGGACCTGTGAGTTCCTGCCACTGCTGGGGTCCGGGGAACACAGATTCCAGTCTTCATCTCTGTTCTCTACAGTGTAAAATTCTAAATCCACCCTGATCCCCCATCACACCCACAGCTCCCAGACAAAATTTCCTAACACTGGTCAGCCATTCTAATCCCATTTTCCATAAGTCTCTAATATAAATGTTTATAAGCCAAAATTAAGCATGTAGTTAAAACAGAAAGGCTTTCTTTCCCAAGCCCAAACTCAGAAAGCTGGTTTCATAGGTTTCCCTGACCTAACCCCTGCCCACCCAACCCTACCTTTCCCTAAGCACCAAGCGCACCAGCATGGTTTAAAGCCTTCCAGATCCAGCCCCATCTTCCTTCAACGAGCTCCACTCGAGGCCCACTCAAGTCACACTCTGTCAAAGTGTGCCTCCTCTCTAAACAAAACAAACACCCTCCTTTCTAAAGCACAGTCACACCTGGAACCCCATCTTCAGAGCGTGGCATGTGTGCTATAGCCCCATTTTATATGTTACACACCACCTTGTACATCTACTATTACCATTGCTAAAATCACATTAATATCTAATATCTATTGGCTCACTTAAAACCCTGTGATCATCTTATATTAGCATACTTTCGGCTTTGTTTCCCCAAATCAAATCGACTGAACCTCACATCTCTGTCCTCCCCACTACAGCTCAGCCTGGCCTTCTCCCTTTCTCCATGAGTGTGAACCTCTTTGGCAGGGGCAGACCCTACGGAACCCCAAAGCCCCGTGGATGCCAGGGTAAGGAAGTGAGGCACACAGCACAGGTGAAGCACACGGTGCAATGCAGAGATGGAAACACGGGAATACCGCCTCACCTCCCACGTGTCTGAGGTTGGTTATAAATCTGGAAAGCACAGAGAATGTACGGAGAACGGCAGAGGCTGCATATATCCACACCTACCAGCATTTACAACTTCACACATTACCAGAAATTACAACTATCCTCAAGTAAATACACATTTAGACCAGACAGGGGTGGGCTGGGGGTAGGGTAGGGATAGGGGGTGAGATGTGACACTAAAAAATAAAGTTAAATTAAAAAAAATTAAAGAAAAATTAATCTTGAAAAATTACAAAGCTCAACAAATTTCTGTTTAAAGAAATAAAAGGGGAGGTGGGGTGGCAACTTTAATGATCTCCATCAAATTGATGCAGCAGAACAAAAGAGAATGCTTTATGATTCCACAGAATTTCTAAAATTTACAAGACAGAAAAGAACAAGTAACTCCAGATAAACTTACTTACTCATTGCCTGGACAAAGGAGGGGTCACTCAGACTGGCCACGTCATGTGTTAAAGGTTAAGTCTAGCCAACAACCTAACAGTGGTAACCCAACACTCCCTGGTTCCCAACTGGGCAAGGCTGATGGAAGAGGGAGGCAAAGGCCAAGTCCCTCCCAGCTCACAAGCAGCCTGCTCTGCTCCTTTTTCAGAGGCCTGAAAAAAGGCCAGCTCCCCAGACCTGCCATCACAGGCACCCCAGGATGGGCAGTGGGGGACCTTCTCCTGCCTGAGTCACTCATTTTGGCACACTGTTTAAGTGGCAAACTGACTTGTGACTGCTGTGTCGCAGGGGCTGGAACAGGACACAACTACTAAGGATGTACTTTAAAACAATACCCACCTTTCTCAGGACCCAAAATCAACCACCAGCAACACTCAGTCCCCCTGTTTCCCATTTTCCCTGGTTGACATAATGCTGTGCATCTCTGTTACATCCAGTTTTCCACATGACACCATGTCCCAACTCTACACCCTTCTATAAAACATAAAGTAGCTGAACTACCGTGTAAGCGTATGAGATGAGGCTCGTAAGCTCTTCCCTATCGTGGTCTGTTCCTGACACTGACCTCCTGCAGGTGCCATGTGCATGGCCACCCTCGTTTCTAGTTTCTCAACAGCGGGGATGCTGCACAGTCCTTGACACTGCTCAGTCTTTCAGACAGCTATGCTAACTTTACCCACAGTGAGCAGTGTGTCCCCTGCGTTCTCACCAGGACTGAATGCATTGTTACAAATATAAGCAAAAACTCTTATCTCATTAAAATGTTCATCTGACTAAAAACTACAGCAAATGGCCTAATGAGCTAATATAAACTAAATGCACTCCTCGGATTCACCTGCTAAGGTCTTTGTTATCTTTTTGTTTCTCGTCTATATGAAAACCCTTAGGTTACAATTTTGAGCGAATTTTTTCCTCTTCTAATTTCATCTAAAATATTTTTCATGTTCAAGTTTTAAATATGTTATTTCTTTAAATTACATATGTATGTATATTTTATAGTTAGACAATGTAAGTGTGCTGGAAGTTGATTATCAAATATAGTTAGTTTGGCACAAGGATTCTAGGGAGCTAGTTAACAAATAGGTCCTAGGTCCAAGCGCATGAGTGCTCAGAACCATCATAGACAATAAGCATGCTTACCTGAGAAAGGCAGGCAGTGAGTCCAAAAAAAATCTGACAGGACTCTGGAGAGAAACCATTGACTCTGTCGGACAGTTATTAAGATTGCAATGAAGTAAGATGAGCAGAGCTGGCACTCCACTAACACAAGCCCTGCCTGCTGTGGGCAGGCTCTGCCACCTCCCTCCCGCTCAGTGCGTTTAGAAGGTGAGACAGGCTGAAGATGACAAGAGACTGCAGAGCAGATGGGAGCAAAGCATGAAAGGAAGTGAGCACGTTTCAGCAAAGGACACCGCAAAATCCAGTCTCTACTCACATCAGAACTAAGGACAGTGTGGTCATGGGGAAACTCCCAACACTACCTAACTCCACACCACGCACAGATATATGGGAACAGAGACACACAGACTCACACCCTAAAAGGCAACATGCAGAGGATGTCAGAATGCAGCACCAAGGCTGCGCTTGTCCCATGCAGGGCTCCTTCCTAGAAGAGCCTGTGTGCTTTAAACACGGGCAGGACAACTCAGGACCCTGAAAACCCTAGAATATAAATTCTCAAGACCCTTCCTAGTTCTAAGGTTGACTGGAACATTCATCTGAGTTCCTTCTTTGATCTGCTATGCTTCAAGCACTAATAAAGCACTACTGTTTCTCAGGGAGTCATCAACACACTGGAGTGTCCAGAGTTCAATATGGGTAGAAAGAACCTATTGAGACAGGTGGGTAATGAACAATAGACGCAACTCAGACCTCTTAAAGGTACACTGACAAATCCTAAATATGAACCATCCCTGCCAATAATAAAGCAGACTCCAGCAAAAAGTCCTCTGCTCTAGTACCACCTTGCCACCTAACCTTGGGGCTTCTCTCCTTCTACAGATGGGGAAAGACATCAACAAACCTCAGAGTGTCTATCAGCTGGTCTTGGGCCCCTGTTCTGTTGTCTTGGACAGACAGGCAAGCGCTCAAATAACCTACAGCTTCCTGAGAAGACTGGGATAAAGAAGAGGTCCAGAAAAGACCCCAGGGATATAAACTTGACTCCACCTCAGAAAGGTCCACCCACTTAGGATTGGTTTGTCCATTTGAAACCAATGCTTATAAAGATGCAAAACAACAAAGAACTCCTCACTTTTCAACTCTGAATGAAGAATGAGCATTTCTTAGCCAGAACTGCATCCTCTAAGAAAAGCTAAGGGAGAGGAAGGCTTGCGTATATGAGGCCCTTGGTAGTCTCATTTGTACCCCAGTTGAATCTCCCTGCTCAGACTTGAGAGAAGTATGCGCACTCAAAAAAAACTGCATGGCACAGCAGTGAAATGAAGCAGCTAGATGACAGTGTCCATCCTCAACCCCCAGCCTGAACTTCACTATCATTACTGGATAGCAGAAGTGATTTCCAAAGTCAGGTTCTGCTGGGATTGCCTCTCCAGTGAAGCTTCATTCTCTCAGAGTGAACTAGAAGCCAGTAGGCCTACAGGAGAAAACAGCAATGGCAAGGGGTGTCCCAGGTGGGACCCAACACAGGACCCTGAGTGAGAATATGGCATGGCTGACACAAGTGGGGACAAGTCTCATACAGCCCAGGCTAGCCTTGAACTCTCTTTTGAAGCCAAGGATAACCTTCAACTACTGATCCTATTGCCTCCACCTCCTGAGTGCTGGGATTATGGACATGTACCAATATGCCCAATTCATGCTGGGAACTGAGCATGAACCTAACATTAAGATGGCCACCTATCAACTGAGCTACACCACCCTAGCCCCAGAATGCAGCCTCCACTACTCTATTGTCAGCACCAGAGCAAGGGCTGAGTGGGAAATGTAGAGTAATAAGCCTTCCATGGCATCTAACAAACTAAAAAGATGAACACATGCTGTCAAACCAGAACTTCCTTCTCGAGTTCTCTCTGAGTCGTTCTTGACTTTCTCACCTGATTTAGAATTCTAAAACTAGTCTTTGTCTAAGTAGACATCATAAGACTGGGTCCTCGCCACAACTGCTAGTCACAGCTTTTTGCTGCAGGTAATGACGAGGACCAGGTACATACCATTTCATACAGGATAGGAAAGAGCAGGGACAGAGGTGCAGAGGAAACGGCTGGCCCCACTCATGAGCCCACTGACTCAATGTATCTAAAACCCACAGCTATCCTCCCCAGCCCCACTCATGAGCCCATTGACTCAAAGCATCTTAAACCCACAGCTGTTCCCCGACCTCATTACTCGAAAGGATACGGCAGGAGAGCACCACATTGCACGGACAGAGTCACCCAGGAAGGCTGAAAAAGAAAAAGAATTACAAAAATCAAAATCATTCACAATCTGTGACCAAATGAGATGACTTCACCAGTGGTCGCTTCTGGAAATGAAAGGTTCTGCTGTGACCCATTACAGACAACCGCCTGTAAGCACGAGGGCCAGGCAGCTGCAACCAAACAGCAAACACCCAAGCCACAAACCCCAGTCCCAAAATGAAGCCGTCACTGTATTCCTCAGGACTGTGACAGACATGCAAGTTTACATCTACATTCTTACTGCTGCCCAGCTCAACCCCGTCAAGGAACAGACCAAATTCACAAGATTTTGGTTTTACCTAAAGAATACACAATATTTGTAAAACATGAAAAAACAAAACAACTTTTCTAATCTTACGGATTAGAAAACTTGCATCCATTACAAGGTGGACTAACAGCTACCTTCTGGGTACTTTATATTCTTGGAAAATTAGCTCACCTTCTATTTCTAACCCAATTTTAAAAATTAGAACTGTTATATCACCATTCTAATAGCTGTATTAGAATCTGGCCCCAGTTAGCCAGTTGACTTCCAGAAGCCTAGACAAATGAAAACATATATACTCAATTACTTGTTACTGACGCAGCAGCACAGTTGCCAAAATACATTTCAACACTATGCAGAAGGCACAAGACCCTTGGCAGACAGTGACCAGGAAGAATGCAGCCTCCACTCATGCCAGTCAGTAAGAGACACTGTGGTCAGGTCTACCTTACTGCCCTCAGACCAGAGTATGCCCTACATAACATTTTTCAAGTGACATATATAATTCTTTTTCTTTCTTTTCTTGTTTTGAGATAGGTTTCCCTAGGCTAAACTCAAGCTTAATATACAGCTGAGGCTGATTTCAAATTCGTGACCATTCTAGAATTCCAGACCTATACTACTGTGCCCGAGTAAAGCCTATTCTTTGTGACAAGATTAGTAAGTATTTTACGAAATAAAGACTGGCTCTCTCTGGGATAACTTCACCAGAGGCATGAGCTGACTTACTGGATGGTATGGCACTCTGGCAAAAAGCTTTAGCTAACACTGTTCCCTACTTTTGATAATCCTGATAAGGCCAATGAAATCTAGGTACCGAGCTAACATCAATAACCAGTACTGGACCAGGCATGGTGGTGTAAGTCTGTACCCCCTGCGATGGATTTGGCAACGCAAGGACCAAGACCATCTCAGAAAAAAACAAAACAAGCCTTGCGGCTGACTCTTCTGAATTTAGAATGCCTTCTCATGGTCAACCTTTCTTCCCCGCAGGAACACTTAGAAAGCATGGGGACGTGTGGAGCTAGCACTTGAGATTACAGGAGCATTCCCCGAAACAGTACTGCCAGCTGCCATTAGTCTGCGCCCAAAAGTCGGTCACAGCTTGCGCAATGTGCTGTGAGAAATTTGGACTGAGTGACAGTGGTGGCACTTCTGTTATGTGGGAAGGGGCCAGGGGAACCCCAGAGTACTCTCAGGCAGCTTTAGAATGCACCAGTTTGGAAATGGACATCTTTACATTACATCAACCCAGCTTCATAACCCTAGAGAGACTTCACAAAGGCTGAGTAGGGTTCTCCAATTTAAAGACCACTCCAAATCTACTCCAGGCAGAAGAGGAACACCTCTCCAGGCACCAGAACAGTGCAAAGCTAGGGACATACTGATAAAGCAGAATGCAAACAGGTCAGAGATGGCTCAGCTGTTAGAAGCACTGGCTGCTCTCTTCTGGCCTCCACGGGAACTAGGCACATACATGGTATACAGCATGCAGGCAAAACACTCATATTTATAAAGTAAAATTTAAAGAAAAAAAATTTTAAGTTAGTATCAAGGTTTGGTGGTTTGAATTAAGAATGGTCCCACAGACTCATGTATTTGAATGCTTAGTTATTAAGGAGTGGCACAATTTGAGAAGGATTAGGAGGTGTGGCCTTGTTGGAGAGCTTTGAAGTTTTTGCTGGGGTGTTTTGTAATTGTTTTGAAACAGGGTTTCTCTCTGTAGTCCTGGTTGTCCTGGAAATCACTCTATAAACCAGGCTGTCCTCGTACTCAGAATAGCCTGCCTTGTCTCCCAGGTTCTGGGATTAAAGATGTGCCACCAGCCCAGCAGGCTTTGAGGTTTTCAAAGCTCAAGCCAGGGCCCTATCACTCTCAATCATCGTTCTCAATCCCTCAATCTCCCTCTGTCTTCCTCCCCCCCCACCCCCTTCCCTCTTTTTTTTCCTACAGATCAGGATATAGCTATCAGCTACTGCTCCAGCACCTGCCTGCATGCCACCAGGACGATGTCCGATATGACGACGATGCCCGCTATGACGATGATGTGCTAAACCTCTGAAATTATAAGCATGCCCCCAATTAAATGCCTTGGTCATGGTGTCTCTTCAAAGCAACAGAAGAGTGACTAAGATATAGAAGGATAGGTGAAAGAATGTGCCAACCCTGGGAACCAGGCCTTTGCCTGTCAACTAAATCCCCATTCCAGCACCTGCAATGGGAACAAAGACAGTCCTCTGCTCAGACTCAAGAGGGTAAAGCAGGAAGTGCCCCAAAGACTCAACTTCAGGTCAGCTCTGAGAGGGCCCGTCACCCTCTGACAAAACATACTGCCACAAATAACAAGCGGACTGGGAGCTAATGCGGGTCACCTGTTTAAGAACTACAGCCAGGGCAGGTACAGTGGGACAGGGCACAGTCTGCTGCAGTTGCCCAGTGCTTAAGAGATGCAGCAGCCATATTGTACACATGCAAGATACAAGCCGGCAACTCTACGCAGCCGCCAATTCCAAAATGTCACCTTTCAACCTGCAACTCCTCCTGCAGGATGAAGCTGCCTACACTGCTGGCTGCAGCTCAACAATCCTAGAGACAGTTGTATCTGGCAATTTCATCATATCTTTCGCAGGTGGTTGTACCCTAGTTTTTACCTAGTGTTCATTTTCCTTTACATGTCAGCAGCCTTAGCATCTTATACTTGTTTTTTGTTTTGGTGCCAAGGATAGAACCCGGGGCCTCGTGTATGCTGAGCACCTCCCTGCCGCTATGTACGAATGTGTGTGTGTGTGTGTGTGTGTGAGTAAGTGAGAGAGAGAGGCATATGTGCGTACCTGTGCATGCACATTCAGAGGCCAGGGAAGGACATCAGGTGTCCTACTCTATCACTTTCCACCCTAGTCCCCTGAAACACTCTTACTGAACTTGAAGTAGTTGGTGGTGAGCAAGCCCCAGCAATCCTACTGTCTCCACCCTCTCCTAGTACTGGGGCTACAAACATACATGGCCACCCTATATATGCTGGGCCTAAGAACTCAGGTCCTCATGCAAGCAAGCTTCTACCCACCGAGTCATCCATCTCACTAGCCCCGATTATTAAGCCATGCGATAAGCTACTGTACATATGATTTTGACTTAGAAGGCGAAAGGGGTAACACAGAGTATTTATTTCAAAGGGAATCTTGGGGAATCTTGTGTTTAAAATCCATTACTATAGTTGGTGTGACAAGTGACGTAGGCCCCCAAAACACATTTGTAAGGCAAACATTTCCCTCTAAATCTGTGAGACATGTCATCACTTCAACAAACAAGGGCTGACAGAAAGCAAGCTCACAGAAGGGCGGGCAGTGCCACCTGAAGGGGAAGCTTTCGCTGGCTCCCAGCCAGACCTCCAGCAAGCATTAGCAAGAAGCAGCAGGTGAAGGGCCCAGGAACCATGCTGAGCAGTGGTCTTCAGAGACACAGAGGGCCTGGGCCGGCAGCACTGAAGCACACGTGCTGCTGTGCAGATGTGACCACCGCACTTACTGCTATAAATAAACCGCCTGGTACAGTTTCCTAAGTATATGGGTCAAGAACCTCTCTGTGACTCCTGAGGCAGACTACCCCATCAGGCTCATTTTCAAAGGTCAAGCCTATATGCCTGCCAAGTTTTCCAGACCCCAGAAACTGGCAAGATACCACATCCAACACCAGGCAGCTCCTCAACACCTGGTCTGACTCAGTTACCTCACCCCTAACTGCTACTGTAGAACTATGGCAACTTGAACACTGGCTTCTTAAGGTAAAGCACTCACTAGTATGAAGAGGGGTGATGGCAGCAGGTATTGAAAATGGAAGGGGCACCACAAAAGTAATACATTACACACAGTCCCCGAAGTATGGCATGCAGGGGGACAAAAGCTGAACACACTGCTCACCAGTTGAAGGAAGCCCCACATTCTACAACCAAGAACCCGTAGGTCAGTTGGCTAGAACACAGTCCAGATGGCCACCAGGTAGACAGCTAGCAGAGTGACCCTCATCATTGGAGATGAGCACAGTTAGCAGGGCAGTGGCCTCCTCCCTTCAGCTACCCAGCTGCAGATCAGGACCACTGGCCACCAGGGAAAGGACAGCTGCCTTTAAGAGGCTTCTGGAATCAAATATGCTTCTTACAATGTAAAGTCCCTACCTGACAAGACGGCAAACCTAGGAAAGCTTCCTGGGTAGGAAGTGACAGCAAGGGAACCAAAAGTCCCAAAGTTAAGGCAGGCAACTAAAGTTTAAGGGCTTTGTTTACCTGATGACACCCCACTTAACATTGGCCTGCAGTAAGCCTGGCAGAAAGGCCTGCTACAGGCCAGGGCACTGCTGCGGACACACAATGGAAGGCAGAGGCTCAGATTCTCTACTGACCTTTACAACAGGCAAGTCAAAGACCTCCCGGGCTTCTCCCACTTCCGGGTTGTCTCCATCCTCTGAAATGATGTGTGAGGCCAGGGCATTGTAGGAGACTTCCTTGGCTTTCCCAGCTTTAAGAAGCTGAATAACCTAAGGAAACAAAATAAACAACACAATTAATAAAAACAAAATACTGTGTTGCTTTCCAGATTCAAAGAAGTCATTATTAACAATAATGGAGAAACATTTAATAAAAACACACCCACCCTGTCCCCTACAGAGAAGCCTTTTCTTGAGTGATAGAGCCAATAAAATGTTTTCGAATAATAAAATGCAACAACCCTTGTTTCACAAACCAAGTCACAGAGATGTGATAGCCAGCTACTGGCCTTCTGCTATCCTCCAGACAGACTGGACACACCAGGACACAACAAAACCTGCAGAGTTCTATACAGTACTTGTTCTGAGTCTCCAACCCAAAGGCTAATGACTGGTTCACCAGTTAGGAAGTTTTCTGGAGAAACCAAGAGAATCCTAACTTCTGGGTACCCATTAGACAGAAAGCACACACTGAGGGAAGATCCAGCAGGGGACTTGGATCCAAGCATGGGCAGGGTAGTCTTGGGTGCTATACACGACAATCTTTCCTTAAGTCATTGAAGGACATCACAAATGAAGATGGTACTAGATCTTACAGATGGACATCAACATAGGAATACATGGGTTGGCCATGTACCCAGACAAAGTGTTAAGACACAACTCTGACAATTCTCACCACTGTAAGAAGCAGGAAACTAATGAAATGTCAGTAGCAAAAAGAAGGAAAATGAAATAGAATTTTCAGACAGTAACTAGACAGGGTGCAAACAGCGGAAAAGACAAAATGGAAATGCTGGCATCTCCCAGGGGGATTGATTGAAAGCAGAAAGGAGAGAAAGGGGCACTGCTGGGCCTCAGTGTGGGCATACCACTCTTTGGTCCCCTGTGCTATCTAGTAAGATACTCTCAGTTACATGGAGAGGGCCCTGGCTCTCAAGACTGTAACTTGCTATTACAGATGGGCAAAGTTCTGAGAGTCAGTGAGGCAGCCACCAGCATCCCAAATGCTGAGGATTCATCAGGGACACATGGAGCATCAGAGGAGAGACAGTGGAGGGCAGGCCGGAGTCGGGCAGAGCTGAAAGCAGCAGTGTCTAGGATGGTGTGCTGACCACCAATGAAGAACTGGAGCAAATGAGTGTGTTTCTGCTGCATGGAAAAGCAACAGTCACCAGTCACAGCCGGCTTGCCTGCACAAGGATCTTCACCTTCACACACAGATTTTATCCACCTGCTTCAGACCTGGGTGACTAGGAGCACGAACACAGCACGCCCTCCCTGGCCCTCTCCGTCTTGGGTCCCAGTGCTTTCTTTTCATGACAAACTTCCAGAAACAAGCCTCATTTTGCCGTCCATCTTTTCCCTGTATTCACTCCTCAGCTCTCTGTAGTGGAACCCTCCCCATCGAACTGTGAAAACTCAGGTCTCAGATACTGAGGACACCAAAACTTCTCCCCAAACTGTACACTACTAATTCTGTCTTACAGGAGGCACCTTGTATCTATGCCCAGTGACCATCTGGACACATGCCAAGTAGACATAAAATCCTTCAACTCCTAGCATACACACTGCACACACACAACTTCTTGTACTCAGTACCTGCTTATTTAAGATCAACACCCACAGCACCTACACCTGTTCTGTAGCGTTCAGCATTCAGGCGTGCTCTTCTGCAGCGCACTGTGTACCAGGCCCGAAGGCCAGCCAGTACTGGGCTGCTCACCACCTGTGAGCTTCTCAATCTGTATTTCAGAAAGTCAAGAAATAGGTGCCCTGGCTCTAACCCACCCCCCTTTTTTTTAAACGCACTGCGTATTACAAGGACTTGTAAGGGACATTTTTTTTTTTAAGCGCTCAGATTTCACACATAGTTGGGCAAACAGCTCAGTTCAGTGTGTTCTTGGTTTCAAGTGACATTTGGTCCAAGTCCCTTATAAAAGCCAGTCCTAAAATGAAGAACATGAAAGGGTGAAGGGAAGAAAAGTGGTGGTGGTAGTAGGGTGATCAGTACCAGAAAAGGCCAGTTATAAGCACCATCCTGATCATGCAACCGAAGACCCAACAGACCGGTTACTAGGAAACAAGCATGGCCTCTAGTGCCATGCTCAGTGGCTCCTAGACAATTCCTTCCTTAGGACCCGTTTACCTTACATCTCCAGACACCGAAGGTGACACAACTGTAGCATAATTTAGGAAAAGAAATGTCTAGGACACTGTCCTAAAGGTACCACCCCAAAGACAGTGTCCTGTGCATGGATCCAGACCTATAGTCACACGCACAAGTCACTGTGACCATGTGAGCCGGGAAGCTTCCATACCTACCGTACAACCCACCCTTAGGGAAAACCAGGGACCGGGAGGGCAGGCCCCTCAGCAAGGGACCCGCTCAGCAGGAGCCCGCAAGATGCTCGGCCGGCGGCCGCACCGGGTCGGTGCTCGCAAGGCCCCTCCCGCGGCCCTTCACGGCCCGGCGTGCCCCGCGGCTCCGGACCGGGGTCCTGCAGGGCGCGCGCGCAGCGAGGCGGGGATGGCCCGGCGGCGGGGGCCCGCACGGGCGGTACCTGCGGGTCGATGTCGCCCACCACGTAGTACTTGACCTCGCGGAACAGATCCTCCGGAACTTCGGGCGCCGGCTCCGACATGATCGCGGCGGCGCGGCGGCGCCCGGCCCCGCGTCACCCGGCCCGCCGCGCCCAGCGCCCGCAGCGATGCCAACTGCCCGGCCGCACAGACCGGCCCGCAGCCGCCGCCGCACTCCGACCCGCGCCCCCGCCCGTCCGAGGCCCGGAGCGCGGGAGCCGCGCGCGCCCTGGGGCACGTACCACCGCACCGGACCGGCAGGGGAACAAGTGGGACGGCCCTGCCTTGCGTACCGCAGAGGGCCCATTCCACCACCACCTCGGGCCCGAGAATCAATAATGCATGTCTGTTCCCACTGCACAGGGCCGCCCTGCAGCGGCCGAGTGTCCTTAACAGAGAACCGAGGACGCAGAGAGTTTGGATCCCCCGCACGGCAGCGGTGGACTGGCCGGGGGGCGTGGCCTGGGCGGGGCTCCCGTCACCCCGCGCGGTCACCGGCGGCGCATGCGCGAAGGGGGCGGAGCCTGGGCACGGAGTGGGACCTGCGCTGGCCAGTGTGTGTTATTCTGTTGTTGCCGGCGCTGCTGCTGGGGAGCGCGGTGTCGGGCCTAGAGCCGGACGGACCCTGACAAATGGTCGCTTTCCTTCCTCCGCTCCTTTTGCGTCTGCTGCGGCAGTCGGCTGGGAACTGATCCTCGGTGAGGCAGCTTAAGAGCAAAGTAGGAGCCGGGGACATGGCTCAGCAGGCAAAGACACCTGCCGCCAAGCTGAGTTCGATCCCTAGGACCCACGTGTTGGATAGAGAACCGACTCCTGCAAGTTGTTCTCTGAGACTTCCACGCGCACACTGTGGCTCACACACATACGCACACTCACTAAATAAATATTAAACTTTCTATGTGTATTGAGTTTTCCCTGCATGCGTATCTGCACACCATGAGGGCCTGGTGCCCACAGCGGTCAGAAAAGGGCTTCAGGATCCCTGGAACTAGAGTTAGACAGCATGTGTGTATTGGGAACCAAACTTGGAAATGCTGCAAGAGCACCAAGTGCTCTTATCTGCTGAGCTATGCAACCCTCAAGCAATCTAGTTTTTAAAGGTAAACAGAAAACTCCATAGAAGTTATCTTCACAAATAACTATATTAAACGTGGATGTGCAAAGTTACAGGAGGCAATGACAAGCTGTGAGGTTTTCACGGAATGACAAGTCCTACCACTGAAGTGATAGTGGTCATTAATCAAGTTTTTTGTTTTCTGTGACCCTCATGCAGACCAAACGTTGATGTGCTTAGAACTTCCACAGAAGAACTCAGAGCAGGGTCATTTTGGCCTGATAGCTTTCAGCACCCTGCTTACTGCTCATACTATTCCAGATAAAATGAGTTTGGTTAAGAATGCTGAAGAGAAAATGAGAAAAAAAAAAAAATGCTGATGAGATAGATGGCTCAGCAATTAGGATTACATGTTACTCTAGCAGAGGACCCAGATTTGATTCCTGTAACTACAGCTCCAGGAGCTCCCAATGCTTCTGAGAACACTGCAAGCACTGTGCACAGACATATAGGAAAACAAAAAAAATAAATAAAACTAGAAAATAAATAAAGGCTGGGAACAGTGGTACATGCCTGTAACCCCAGCACTCTGGGAGGCAGAGGCAGGCAGATCTCTGTGAGTTTGAGGCCAGCCTGGTCTACAATAGCAAGTCCAGGATGGCCAAGGCTACATAGAGAAACCCTGTCTCACAAAACCAAACCTAAGGAAATAAATAAATAGAAAAAAATAATAAAGGTAGTACTGGAAATAGGACTACCTACCATGAGATCTACTGTGAGATCCAAATACCAATCTACCAGGAGAAACCAAAGTAGGTTATTGAGATAGTATTTGCAAATGGCTCTCTGAAACTCAGCGTGTGTGTTTATTTCTATGTGTGATGGTATATATGTGCAGCGGAGCTTCCAACTGTTTGTACGTCCAGGAGTTCTGAGGCCTTCTGATCTCAGCCTCCAAGATCACCAGGCGTGCAGGTGGTATACTTAAAGATTATGCAGGCAAACAGAATAAAAACAAACCTTTAATAAATAAAAAATGGACTTGGATGTTGTATACAGTGTTTTCGTTTTGTTGTTCTATTTAGTTGACTGTGCACCCCTTAAAGTTAGGCATTATTAAGTTCAGTTTACGTTTATAGGCTACAGCCTCGCTTCTGACATTGCACGTCATGACTCCGTCTGGGGGTGAGAAAAGAACTGGCAACAGTAAAAGGTTTCCAAACACACAGGGTCCAAGATAATGCAAAACCTGTGTGGTGAATCCAAAGCGTTTCTGGCCATGCCAGCCTGTGTTGCATCTTCACTGCAGCCGTGATTCAGAACACATAACACGCACTGTGTGCTGAGCATTTGGGCAGTCATACAATGCATGCCAGCAAATGCTGCCTGGAACACCTCAGCTCGGATTCAAGACTGCTGTCCGCTATTAATTCTAATGTCTGTACTGTACATACAAAATTTCCTGCGTGTACAAATACTTAACGGCTTAATTACAGGAAACAAGGACTTATTTTCCTACAGGAAACAAGGACTTATTTTCCTAAGTAATTCATGCCTGTCAATCAAAACCAGCAACCAAACTCCTCCTCTTGTATTCCATGATAGGAAGCCCCAAACAATAATTGGGAGCCCTGAGTTGTCTCATGTTGCCTGCTGTCAATTTTTGAAACATATATATTTCATATATATACACATATAGCACATATATATATATATATATATATATATATATATATATATGTATATATATATATTGGTGGCAGGGTATATGTCGCACCGCTGTGCTTGAGATGACTGGCAGGGGGCGCCAGACATCTTGAGCTGGAATTATAGCGGGTGTGTAGGTGCTAGGAGCCAAACCCAGGTCCTCTGTAAGAGCAACAAGCTATCCAAAGTACTGAGTCACCTTTCCAGCCCCTACCCCACCCCATCACTCCTGACAGTGTATTTCTTTCTGACTTGTACTGTCACTTTGTGTTTTAATTAAAGCTTTTTTACTGCTTTGCTAGTGTGTGTGTGTGTGTGTGTGTGTGTGTGTGTGTGTGTGTGTGTGTTTCCAGACAGGGTTTCTCTGTGCAGCCTTAACTGTCCTGGATTCACTTTGTAGACCAGGCTGGCCTCGAACTCACAGTGATCCACCTGCCCCTGCTTCACAGAGTGGTGGGATTACAGGAGTGTACCACCTGCCCAGTGTGTGTGTGTTTTCACTTCCTTGAATAAAATACCAAGAACACGTGGTTCTTGTGTCAGTCAGACTGACTGTCAGTAACACCTTGAGTAGGAAAAGAACAAGGGACTTGTTCTGGGTCACTCTGCCTCCAGGGCCTGGGTGTCAGCCCAACATTTCAGCTAGGCTTTCTTTTTTTTTTTTTTTTTTTTTTTTTTCCCCTACCCGAGTCCAGCCTAACCTGTGCCCTTTCTTTTCCTCTACAGATGATCCTTGTAGGGATCAGGAATGGGGGAGGGGCTAGTGGCACTCACACAGAATCCTATAAATCAGACTCTGAAGAACAGACTCAGATCTAACTTTACTGTCCAGTATAAAGGCCTTTAAACGACTGAAAGATCAATCGGACCATCCCATGCTAGCCTCAAGCACCAGTAACAATCAGTCAGGTTGGTGTGACTATAAGGGAATGTGGGAAATGTGAGGGGGCAAGATCATCTTAGGAGACTTCCATCAAGAAGGGGGAAGCAATCACCGCCCTAGCCTTGGATCCATTTTGAGACTTCACTAGTGTGCTGAGAGTCCCTAGTGGATCAATGCTCTGTGCGGTGGATCAGGCACTTTTCAGGACCTATATGAGTCTGGGATGCCATTCGCTATGCGGATGCCACTTCGCTATGTGCCTCCAAAAGGTTTATCTTGACGTCCCTCACAGGTTCCCCTCTGTTTTGATTTCAAGGTTAAAAATCTCCAGGAGGAAAAAAAAAAATCTCCATGAGGAGAGCTTTGGTGTGCTCATTTTGGGGGAGTATATGGTTTTTTAAGCCGCATCAAGAAGCATACAGTAAGTAAAACTACAATTACCATGGCATAAACAAATAAACTACTGGATGAAAATAAAGGGGTGAGTTTGGAAGCCACATCCTGAAAGAAATGTCCTAGATCAGATAAGGTAACTACATCCACTCTGGGGGGTATTTGATCATTATCTCCTGATGGTCTGGCTTCCAGAACTATTGGACTGGTGTTCACCATCCTCTTCCTCATTCAGAGATAGACTCCATAGAGCTGTCCAGAGTGGTTCCATCACTTCCCTCACAGCAGGTGTACAGCTTTATGGCTCAACCAGGCGCCCAAACTGGCTTGTCTATTCCTCCTGAAAAAACACATGAAAACCCTCATCCTGGGGTTAAATGGTGGGCAGGACCTTTCCACATATTGTCTGTCCATAGGAACCCCCTCAGTATACTAATGGTAAAGGGATGATCCTGGGAACCAGGCGGGGGACAATCTCTCTTTTGTCAAAATTTTAAAAATTAATGGTAAAAAGAGCCTCAGTTAATTTATCTTGTGGTTGTATCCCTGAGATCCCGACTTCAGCATGCTGCCTCCAATTATGTCTCCCACAAGCTGGACAGGAAACCTGACAGGGACAGTGAGATGTGTTTTCTTTAAAATATCTCTGCATCCAGAAGCTGGTAAAGACTGTGCATCAGTGAGGCTTATCCTGGTGAAACTACCTCAGGTGCAGCAGAGATACACAGATGAGCTTCCTGTGTGCCAGAAGGGGAGGCTTGGGTGGCCTGGGAGAGGGGTGTTTTCTCCATTTTATGCAAAGCATACATTCATTAAGAAAAGGTTTTTAAGGTAGGCATTGTGATTCACGCCTATAATACCAGCACTGTGGGAGGCAGAGACAGAGGCAGGTGGATCTCTGTGAATTTGAGGCCAGCCTGGTCTACAAAGTGAGTCCAGGACAGCCAAGGCTACACAGAGAAACTCCAAAAACCAAAAAAGGAAAAAAAGGAAAAGAAAAGGTTTTAAACAGGGTGTGGTGGTGCTTGCCTGTAATCCCAGCATGCAGAAGGTGGATGCAGGAGGACCGAAGGTCAAGGCCAGCTTGAACTATGTACAAGGCCAGCCTTGAGCAACACAGAAGAAGAAATGGTGACTAACAGGGAGTTAAGCAAGGG